AGTAACTTCAATCAAATTCAATTTAGGAATGTCAAATATATTACTCAGTCATATATTACATGTCCAGATTTATTGACGGGCAGCACATGCATGGGTCTAGACAAAATCTGCACCACTTTTGTGATTAGAATCAGTGCAATTAGTACATGCAGTACCAGATTTAAAGAGATTCAAGAGTAAGAATCTTCACAAAATCTCATGAAAATTTGGTATTCATTAAAAAAAATTAAGAAAAAATGCCTTTATGCCCTGTGTTTCAATCATCTCAGTTGATTGCATTTCATCAACAGTCAACAATTTGAGATTTGCCTCAGTCCCTTCTTCATGCAATTTGGCATCATTGCATAGTGAAGCCGGTGGTGATGCTGAACCTATTATGTCTGTTTCTCTGCAATAATTTAAAATTTGCAGGCTAGTGTTGTTAGTCAAAACATGTAAGAGAATGCATGCCCTTGAGCTGAAAATGGCTTCATACAAACCTCAACTCCTCAAAGGAAGTAAAAGATGCAAAGCTTTCAGCTTCACAGCACATTTCAAAAAACTTTTTCTCAAAGTCAAGACCAGCAGAAAGACTTCTTATAACAACTTCTGGCAATGGCTTCCCAGGATCAGGAGGTACAGTATCCTCATAAATCCCAGTCCTTTCCTGCTGCTCCTGAAACAACATGGAGCAATTAATTAGTTCATTGTCAGAAAGTATAACTTGTAAAGTGAACTAACAAAGACAGATGGATATGTTACCTTCCAGATTGGTGCAAGAGACTGAACCATTTGCACATCTGATCGGGTTTGTGAAAGGGATGAATACATTTTAAACTGCTGATTAAGAATCTCTGTCAAACCAAATTATTTCAATAACTTTAGCAAAAAAGCCATACATGAGATAAATTTATGATTTAATATGTTTGGGCTAGTATAAGATAACCATCCACAGAAGCATCCCCCTCCAGTTCACATGTGCTTTGACGTTTAGGACAATGAACCTCGTGATTTGATGAAGCATCCACTTCAGTGGGAAGTTGCCACATCCAATCAGATGAGACCATAGATGATGTCCACACTGCTGACCCTAAACACGCATCACCATCTGTATCAGCCTAAAAATATTATGTCATTGAATTATGAATATCCATTAGAGACATAAGTATAAATGAATTTGGTCAGTTAAAATGAAAACTCTAGAGAATTAGGAAATTTTAAGACACGCAAGTCAACTCACCCCTGTCTGTTGACTATTGAAAATCAATTTCTTCTCAGAAGAATCTGGCATAGGATGGCGGAACTTCATCTTTAACAAGTGCAGATGACCCATGCCATAAGTTATAGTCAACCTAACAAAGAAAGAAAGAAAGATTACGTCATTACAATCCCCTTCTTAATCTTATTTTTAATTACTAAAGGGAGACAGATAATAGTTCTTAAATTTAAAAATTTAAGTAACTACCCCCTAAAAATATCTTTCCAATTTTTACTTTAAAAGTTTACATATTAGAGATACCACAAGACCAAACCCATGCATGAGGATGTGTTAGCACAAGAATATCTATAACAACATCCAAGCACATTGCTCACAAGACGGTTGCTGTACATTACAGACTCACCCACGCTATTCCCAACATATAAATATGGAAAAGCAAAAATAATATTGGATCAACTGAATTCAGCAGGTATCTACAACCAGATGCTTGTGTCTACGTAAGTCAGCAAATGCACAAACTAAACTAGAAAATCACTTCATCTTGTTCACTTACTCAATGCAACATAATACAGCGTGAATAGTTCATATAGAGATACATACCAGAAACTGAGTGAAGGGAATATGTGATTCATAGGGCTGTAAGCTTTTCCCGAGAACAGCACCAGCCTGAAAAAGGTGTGTCATTATGAAAGCTTAATCCTCACTGCATTATATCGAACTATATCTCAAGAAAGAAATTACTCTGATCAAACTGTACCAATAGTAGATTAGCAGCACGGGAGACATCTTGTGGATAATATCTTGAAAAATTGTGAAGGTTTACAATAATTAAAGCATGTTATCAGTTTACCTTTACCTACCATCAGATATGAGTGTATGTGTTACTGCACGTGTTATGACTTATGACACACAAGGGGGGGAAAGACAAGACAGAAAAAATGTAAATCATTGGGATACAGGTATATCTTCACAAATAACTCCTCTGATGAATGATAACCATAGAATCTCCTTGCTCTTACAAGGCTGCAGCCATGTACATGTTGCCTCGTCAAACCACTGCTGCCTTTTAGCTGTTTAAGTTGAAGAAAAGGTTACTAAATCCCCATCTGTAATATGAAAACTATAACTATGGCCACATAATATAATATAATAGAATGGTCAAACTCATCTAATGTGATCAAAGATACCTTCAATGCTTTCTCAAGAGATGCAGATACCTTATACGTGTACACATCTGCTGTGCAATATCAAGAAAGACCCATCCCAAGTTATTGAGCTTCTCGAACAAATGTAATATATTTCAACGGCATGAATACTGATAAGAATTTAACTAATCAAAAACATCATCAGGAATGTCTGATATTGTTCAGCACTTCCAACCTAATAATGATGTTATCACATCATATACGAACACAACGTACTGTCGTTTATCAGAAATTCAGAAGGATGAAATAAAGTAAGTTTAATCTTAAGATGCCAACAAGGGCTTGAGAAAAAATGTCCTGCATAACTTAAGAAATGCGCTTAAAAAAAATTAATAAAAAAAAAAACTAATTCTAAACTTTCTCTTACCGTCTTGATCTGACTGAGGAGGTATATCAGCACATGGCACATACAGTAGCAAAGCCTACAGAGCATAATATGGATATTTCAGCAGTGATCTTAAATTAGGAAAAAAGAAAAAAGTAAATTTAACGATATTGAACAACTGAATTAACCAAAAAAAAGAAGAGCGTCAAAAGAATATAGTTTCAATAATAATGTATTTATGATAATCACAATGTTTGCTACCACTTGCACGGATTGTTAATCACTGAATTTACAACCTCAGATAGCAATCTCTTACCCGATGTATATGCAAACAAGTTTTCTGCCCAGCTGGAGTAGAACCATATATTCTTACAACAGGAACCTCATTCACTTTCCCACCTTGATGTATTTAAAAAAAAAAAACAATGGATGAAGGATGAGTGAGAAAACACAAGTTCTATTGCCTCTGAACTAACCGAAGCTACGAAATAAAATGACTTATTCATAACATGAAATTATAGAACGACCGAAAAAACGATGTAGCTTTCAGTGCAGAAGTAAAACCCAAAGGAAAATGTTCTTCAGTTGTTCGTGACTGATATTACTTATTGCCTAAACCGCGCCATTCATTTCGCTTAAGCGTCCCTTCGGAAGCCCAAATTCTCGTTCCCAAGCTAATTGCGTGGGACTAGGTTGCAAATGAGTTAAAGACACTAGAACTGACAATTACAGACCTGTTATGGGTACATGAACCGAATCTCATACCATGGAAACTGCTGTAACAGATATCCAGGCCTGGAATTGGCGGTGCCATGTAGTAGTCGAGGGACACAATCCGAATACTGAACATTTTCCAATCACTCTGCGAGTCTGCCATCGATTTTTCTGCACCTTTGCCGAATCCAAATCAACAGGGGTGAAAATTATACGTAAAAAGGGAACCGGGCGGCAAGAAGTTAGCTGAGAGGTGTACGGATCGTCGACGCGGCCCGGCTCTTCGATCGGTTAGGTTTGGCGGGAGACCGACCTTCCTTTTAAATGGACGGCTTTTTAACCCGCTGGACAGGGTTGTTTTTTCACGAGCCGGAGGCAGTTGTTTTTTATCAGATGGATATTTCTTTACGACCTGGACACACTTTTTTTTGCAGCGGAGAATACTTTTTTTTATCAGCTGGAAACAGATTTTTTTTTACCAGCGGAAAACATATTCTTTGACCAGTTGGAAATTAATACTCCTCCTCTCCCAAATATAACTTGACTTAAAGGCTAGTTTTTCACTTAATCAGGAAAATGTTTACGTAGAAACCAAATCATAATTTTAAAATAATTTTATAACATATAAAATAAATATGTGAAAAAAAATTTAGTAAAAATTGCTTTTCAATTATGCCAAACACTCCTCACATCTCAAACATAAAATAACCTACTCGCTCTTATTGTGAATATAAAGTTTTCGTGAATATATATAATACGTAAAGGTTCTTTGCTAATATGTATAATTGACAAAAAACGTAAGTATATTGATCATTGGTAATTAATGTATAAAAATTTATAATGCTTTTTAAAAATAATTCTATTATTCCTGTTCAAAAAAATAATTCTATTATTGAATGATTAAAATTGCACCCACACGAACAAAAATGCCCCCAGTAAATAGTGTTATGAAAAAGAAAAATTTAACGTGGGAAATAAAAAAATAACTATATTTAAGAACAGACTAAAATTTTCGAAAATTCTCATGTCTAAGACATAGAATAATTAAAAGTAACTAATCGATTCTAGTCAGTAGGCCAATCAATTACGTTTTCTTTTCCATCTATGTTTTTAATCAATGAATATGTTGGTCAGCCAATGTTTTAAGAAAACGTGATAAAGGTGAAAAAGCTCTGTCCTTAGCTAACTTCTGGAATCGATATCTTTTGCGAATTTATTTCTGAGGATCTGCAACTCCGCAAGCAAGCATCTCAGCGGTGGGGTCTGTCTCGTGCACTCCCCCCCCCCCCCCCCAAAAAAAATCAATTCTTTTCCATTCTGGTTCCTGCATCGTCTTCTTTTCAAGAGTATTACTATATTAATAAAGCCATGATTAGTTCAAAAGCGAGATTTTTTTTTATAAAACAGAGCATCATTTTATTGCATGCACACACAAGACAAATAAATTTTACACAACACATACAACATAAATACTGCAGATAAAAAAAATGTCAGGACAGAAAAAGGCCGTGAACGCTAGAATGCATCTGGTGCAGTAAGACAACCAACGCATTCGATAGATGCAGGAACATATTCGCTGTAAACCGCGAGCCATCAGATCGATACGCTGTTCGGAATTCCCATGGCGGTTAGTCCACTTTCACTAGTAGGAAAAAGTAAAGTGTATGGAAGCTTAGTTGGGCCAACTCTGTTTCTTAGTCTCTCATCATTATTCATTCTGGTGATCATCCCCTCAATTTCCTCAAGCCTCCTTCTAAACTTGTCAAAGGCCTCCAGTGGTTCTAGATCAGCTGTCCAGTTAGCCGTAGCTCTTCGTCCAAGGTAAACCTCATCAGAAGAATGCCTGGACAGGATTTCTATAAGTGAAATGCCAAGAAGAGTTTGAAACTGTGCTGTGATTGTTTTCAAGAAAACCTTATCAGGGTTTGTCACAAGCTCATCATACTCTGGAGTACCCTTTTCAGGCATGAACCGCCGGCTTAAAGATGGACGATTCGGGTTATAGCCTGCATAAGGGTACTGTCCAAAGTTGATTGCAGCATGGAGAGCTGAAGCAGTCCATATAATGATAGTGCAAGTCTCAATCAAGTCTTCGCGAGTCTGCATTAAAGGCCACCAAGGGGCATCTTTCTTGTCCCCATGACCAACCTCTTTTATTTCCTTCCACCAAGACTGGAGTTCTGAGTCCCTACTAACTGTGTCGTCTGTCTTGTAGTAAAAGGAGCAATAGTCTCTGACCCATGTCTTAATAGCAAACCAAACCTCAAGTCCATCAACAGCATAAGGATAATCCTCAATTAGTAGCCGAAGACCATAGGGGCAACGTGGATCTTCAACCGCCATTCCTCTGAAAGAAGCAAACAAATCAGTTTACCATTGTTTCACACCAAAAAGCTTTTCTAGTTTAGTTGCAATAAAAAATGAAAGAAGTCAAGGCCAAATAACTGGAATTAAAAGCTATAAATCTTTCAGTGACTGCCCTGAGCGTGTAAGCTTCACCTCTTAAGAAGATCTGTAGGAAGAGCTTGATCAGGGAAAGTCCAATTCTTATAAATTACGGATGACATCTCCATAGAATACTTTGATGGAAAAACCGTCGTCTCAAGAATACCACCCGCATTGATAAGGATCTGTCGTGCAAGTGCATTTATATTCATGGTGTCACGGAAATGAGGAAGTAGTAATTTATGAATCGGGTGAAGCACGCTAAGCTGCCTGTTTGTAGCTATAACAAATGGCTCAATTGTTGCATGAGTCCTTAACCTGCGTCTCATCATTAAAAGGATCCCATTAGTTAATTTCGAAACCAGACTAGATAGATATAGTGCACTTTATATATTTACTCCATTTGATTGAGTTATACCAGTGACTAATAAGTTGATGATATCCGGAGTCATTTACTCCCACGTAGGCTTTAGCTAAACTCCAGATAGAATGTTCAACGCCTTCTTCTGCAGGCACGTAAACTTTACTAATGGCGCCATACTGATCTCCATCAGGATGTGGCAAACTCAATTCTATGGCCAGTGGCTTTAAAGTTCCAATGTCTTGCAAGAAAAGGATTGTCCGGCTGGCATAGGCTTTTGTAGAAGTAGAGTTTATCCTCCTCAAATACGGATACAGTGCATCGTGATAGTCCAATATGAACAGCTTCTTTTTCCTGATCGCCTGTTGAACAAAACAGAAATCAATAGTTTGATTCACGTTAAAAAATGACTCAACCTTATTGAACGTAGGCACCTTAAAATGAGTTGGCCACAACAAGATGTTACAAAATTTTCACGTTAAGGGTTATTGTAAAACCCAACCTTACTGAACCGAGACACCTTACCTCATCTACAGTGAGCCCATCCATATTAATCTCTAATTGTTCTCTGGTTATTGTGCTATTTTGTTCACCATAGACTATAGGATCTAGCTTGCTCGTTGGTGGGAACTCCTGCCATTGATTTAGAATAATTATGAGAAGGGAAAAAAAATGCTCAATCAGGCCATTAAGCCTATCCAGCTCAGGAAAAGAGAATATGACTTTCCAAAGATCCTATTTTTCAGCTAAATTTTATCATCTACAATCAAGTATTGTATCTTGGGCTTACTTGGAGACATTGGATCACGACAGGGTTTACACCAGCTAACATCTCTCTCGCAAATTCTTCATCAGTCCTCCATGCAAACTTGTCCTCTAGTCCAAATTGAAAGCAAAAATATTTAATCAAAATGGTTTAGAAAATACACAAGTTTCTCATGTTCTTGACTACAAAACAACACATTGAATTACAATAGCAATGTAAATTGTCTATGGGTCAAGAATAAACCTTTAATAACGTGTGGCGTGGGAAACTTGAGCACTGGTTCACCATCAGTTCTGAGAATTTCCTTGAGCATCTCTGCATGGATGTTATCCCTTATATCCTTGAGCACACCTTCTGGAACCTTAATCCCACCTTCGTAGAGTTTAAACACATGCTCAAAACTGTCAAATTCATCGGGGGTACTGTCAAATACCGATTCCAGCTCAGGTTTGAGAACCTGAACTACGGATTTCAGGGCATATGTGAGAAAGTCTGCCATTTTCAAGTGACCAAATCTTTCATCCCTTGGAACATAAATGTTTAAACTCATGACAAGCTTCAACCTACTTTCAGAATTGGGATCTGCAAAGATTACAAGATAAATTAACAGCACCTCACTATGATATTTGCTGAAGTCGAAGAAAGAAAGTTGAAGTTCGTGACTAATTGATGGCATATGAATCCGCCCGCGTTATGGAGATATGTAATCATTACTTCACATGAAAAATTACCAAACCTTTGTTATAGCGAACATGTCATTTATTTGAGCTTTAAAAAAAAAAAGAACATGTCATTTCTGGAATTTCATATTATCACGACTCTCTTTATTTTCCAATGCCCAGAACACGTGGACAAAGAAAAGAAAATACTAGATTTTCCCACTTAAATTATTCAGCATAACAGACTTGAATGAATAACGAAATAACAAGCTCCCAACACCCTAACCTGACTTTGAGGGAGGTCTGCCAGTTCTTCCTCTTCGAGGGTATGGATATTTACTGGAACCTCCAAGAACAGGGCGAGCATAGTTCGGACTCTTATCAGGATCGCCCAAATCATTGTAGAACGCATAGTCATAGACTCTGTCCCATTCTTGGAGCTCCCCTCTCCCATCACCTCTTAAATTCTTCAGTTCTTCTTCTCTGTACTTGAGCAAAGGCACTGGTGTCTCACTTGGAAGGTATGCCTGCAATATACAAGTAATTATGTCCCTTTTAGCGCACAGTTCTCAGACACTTCTGTCAATTCTGAGAATAAGTGAACTAAGGTGTTGAAAATGGTGAGTCTTGCTCAAGTGCTTGTTGTTGGGGTTGGGCAATACCTTGTTGCTGAAGAAAACACGATCATTCTTATATTTATGCGCAGGGTATACCCAAGAGTTGCAAACAAAGTGGATGTCACCTTGTCCTGGAACATTTTCAAGAGTGAGAGTTTTGAGGTAGAACTCACTGTGGTGATTATTCTTTATGAGAAATGCTCCTGGGATTCCTATATCCTCATCCCACTCAAACGTGACCTTGAATGTTGATTCACCAGTAGTCACGAGTGTGCCCGTGGTGATCCAGTTTTCTAGATACGCAGGCTTCCCAACTTTTCCTCTCAAGTCATTTCCTGCAAACATCAAACATTTTAAATTGGCCAGCAAAGCAACGTCTTCAATCCGGAGGATTCTATTTATAAATTTTAAATTTAAAAAATTCTATTTATAAATTTTAAATTAAAAAAACATATGTGGTCAATGTTATAAACTTCAATTTAAAATTTATCTTAATATTTAATAAATTTTTTCTATTTTTATTTTTAATTATTTATTTTCTTTTTTTTATTGTACTCTCTCTTATTATTATCACATTTCTCCACGTATTTTTTTATCTTTTTTCTTATTTATTATAAAAATATATTTAGAAATAAAATTATATTTTTAATCTATTTATTACTTATAACTAATTTTAACTAACAGTTTATTATCTGTAAATTAATTATTTAAATTTCATAATAAGAAACAAAACGATTGTTATTTTATCGTTTCCCTCTTGCACTCGTTATTCCTCTGGGCTACCGCAGCCCATAGTCCATAGAGCAGGAGAATCTTGTAAGCACGGACAGGCGTCGTATTACTACTACTGTCTCCTGTTTTAATTATAAGAGCCAGTTGATTAATTTGAGGAGGTTAAGAAAATAAGTTGAATTAGTTATTTGTTCTAAATAGGTGTTGTCTTTCCTAAAATATCCTTACTAATCAAGTGTATTGACTGAAACTATTATTGTTAAAAAGGCTACTTTGAAAAAAAAATGTATAAATATAAGAGACAAAGTGGATTGGGATCTTATATTAAGGATAAAAATAAAAGTCAAACAGGATCTCATATGAAGGACCGGAGGTAGTATTATTTATATCAGCGCATGTGTCATGCCAAGCTTGAGCAAAGCATGTTCATCTTTTTTCCCCCTAATTTTACTTATAGATCTGATATTTTATATGAAAAGTTTAAAATTTTAAATATATTATCCTTGTTTTTTTAACTCTGTCGGCAATTTTTTTCTTATATATTTTACAATTTATAATAAGAATGTCAAATTTTTAAATATACTATTCTTAAGCTTCAATAGCCACGGGAATTTCAAGCGAAGAAAACTAAACTGACGTCAACTGTGAGGTTTTTCAAACAATTATTTAAGACTGGGCAGAGTACGAATGACAGGTTGGCATGGCAAGAGGAAGTAGAAGAAGCTGCAGGGAACTGTAAATCGCGCGAGCACTAGACAGGGAAGGTTAGGAGCTGAAAACACCACCCATGCATTTAAGAGGCTCGGTTATCAGCGCATAAGAAGCAGAAGCAATCCTGTTCAATTGATGGGTCGGCCACAAAAGTCACTATCCCAGTTCTTATCCATATTCTCATTACATCTATCAAAATGGTAGGCGTCAAACATACTGGGAGTGGCATGGAGTCCAGGCACCGCAGTTGAGATGGGAGCATCTAAGGATGTAATTTAATCTTGTTTTTAATGAAGCTTTTGCAGTTTATTTTTTGATTGAGTTTTTGTAACTTCTCATGACTTCTGTGCTCATAACGTATTGATCGAACATTAATAGTTATGTTTAGTTCTCATAATCAATGAGATTATAGACTATATGTAGATAGATGCAACGAGATGGTCATGAACATAATATTTTTTATTTTCACGTTAACAATAAATAATTTTCGTCGCATCATTTTATTTCTAAAAAATCTCTGCTTTATATTTTGTGACAATTTACGTGCGTCATGTAGTTAAGATTCACATAAGCTCTAATTAATATCTGTAATTGAGGGGGAAAACAAAAACCTAATAGAAAACTATAAAAAAATCTAATTAAAAATAAGGTTGTACTATAAAATCAACGAACCAATTTTTTGTTGTTTTTTTAATGAAAAAGAGAGAGAGAGACTAATAGAAGAATCTATCAACCGAGGCACTAGATCCTTGGAGCATCCCATGGCTCTTAAAACAGGCCATGTTAATGGAGGAAGAGTCTGCTCTGTCAGTTTTCTGATCAATGCCCTACTGTTATCCTAACTTAATGCGCAAACATAGAGAGAGGGGGGGAGAGAGAGAGCATGAATTAAATTGTAAAGCATGAGGGTAAAGGCCAGTCCTCTTGTGGTGATCTCGCTTAGCTTATGACTCAAGTCATTAATGTGTTTGTAATTAAGAGGAAAAGAAAAAAGCAGGAGGCGGGTGAAGAGAGGAAATGCAGGAAATGGAGGAACTGACCCGGTTGAAGGTGAAGAGCGCTGATTAAGCGAAGAGAGACTCGTTTGCCCAGGAACTCGTGAAGATCATCCAGAAAGGAGGCATTGAAGTCGTTCAAGTCCAACACATTCTTCTTCGCCAGCACCACCCTCCCTCTTATGATGTTCTTATCCCTGCGCTTGCCGCAGATGCCTGTCACCACCTTCCCAATTACCTCAAACATATCTTCCCGCTCTCTCTAATCGATTAGCTCCAACCAAAAGCAGCGTAGTAACAACAAGTGACATTGGTGTCTCTGCTGCTGCTGGCACACACATATATATACGGCTGGCCACCAATAAGAGCTAACGTACTCCACACCCTGTTTCGTCCACACCACTGTGAGGCTTCCATTACTTCTCATATGACCCACGTGCGTAAACTCTTCAATTGTTGTCGTGTTTCCTTCTTCTTCCCGGGAATTAATTTCCCCCGGTTTAGGTGGTGGCCAACGTGGAACCTTTGCGACCCTTAATTGTTGTCATGGGCTCTACTCTTGTAATCCCTTTCCCATTCACCATCTCGTCTTCCTCCTCGTCTCCAAAAACGCCAGCCACGTGGTCAGGTCCCACAGGCTTAATAGGACAGATCAAAGTCTAATGGGTTGGCAGGGAAATAAATTCTCGCTGGAATATTTACAGATCAGCAGCGAAATCTGTCACCTCGAAGTGTAATATTTTTGGTCCTATACAAGGCAATTTTACTCCAACTAAAAAAAGTTGAGGGAAAAAAAACACACACGTAATGGGCTCATCAACTAGAAAATTACGTTACACTAACTACAAAACTCAAGCCCAAAACATAAACACAAACAACCAAAAAAGAAAGAGGGCTTAAATATATTTATATATATATATATATGTATATATTATCGTTTAGACTTTAGACTTCTCTCTATTGACTGGTACTAAAAAAAATATGGTAGTTTTGAGATGCTTAAACTTTAATCATCTAACAAATTTTTAATGAGGAGGGTGCCGAGACCGGCGGAGTGAATGCTGCGCGAGGAAAATGAAATGCTTGCCGAGAAAGTCGTGCCTTTTGCGTTCATTTTCTCACTAATGAGGAGGTGTTAAGGAGGATCGAGGTATAAGACTCTTAGAAGGAAAAGCAAATAATCAAATCGGCTCGTCTTTTCCAATCATGTTTTTAGGGTGAATATCATTTTCCATAACAAAGTCACGCAGTACATCGACCTGGCTCGTCTAACTCAGATTTGCATTCTGAGCTAGGGCTGCGAGGAGCAAGCACGCGTCGGGTTCTGATACATGAATGGTTTGACTTGTTTGTTCTTCAAAAATCGAATTATTAGAACCTTGATAAAAATTTGACTCAAGATATGTAGCCTAAAAACAACGTTTTTTTTCAGTTTAAATAAAAGAGGAAAAATAAAAGAAATACTTCTAAAATTTCAAAATCTCAAATCATAAATAATTACAAAAAAATGTTGTTATTTATTTTTTAAATATTATCTATTATTATTAAAGTGCAGTAAATAAGAGTGATCATCCTGAAAAGAAAGCAATGGAAGCAGCCCACATGACGCATCGGAAGATCCGTTCACGTCATCTAGTTGCGTTTTTGACTTTTCGTAAGGCCTTTTCTTCTCGCAACCGTGACGTGATTGACAACATTTAAAAAATAAATAATAACATATTTTTATAGTTATTTTTAATTTAAGATTTTAAAATTTTAGAAGTATTTTTTTTAAAAAAATTTCTTTGGGAAAAAACATGATCCGAAAAATTATGCAAATCACCTCAAATCGAACATGTATTGGCAATCTAATTATTCATGCTTTGTTGGATCTTAAATACAGGCAATTCAATCCGTGCAAATAAGTCCATGCAGAATACAGTGCTGATTATTTTTTCTTACCTATTTAATGCTCCCTAATATAACAACGTAAACATTGTTTTTATTACAAAGCAAACGAAAATTCAGTGAGAGCGGAGGTTCCTGACAACAACAGGAGAACCGAGGAGGTGTATGCGCAAGTAAAGCGTTCATCTAAAGGCTAAACATTATTTTTATTATATTTGAATTATTTCCAGATAATTTTTAACAACTATTTATAACCACTGAGAATTAGCCATTTGCTTGAGGTTATGGTGCAAATGGGAATATGGACCACCCTGTGTTTTGGGTACAAATGGCCCACTCTGTTAGCTTTGTCAATGATGGTTGGTCAGAGCTTGGGCCCCCATTCCATTCCAAGGCAAATTCATAGAATTTTCTTTTTTTGGGTAATCAGTTGTAGCGTTGGAAAGGAAATCGGGCTTATAGCATCATCCTATTTATGTCTTTTTCCTCCCTGGCTGGAAGGATGAGTTTTGATGATTGGCTCCAAAATAGAAAATAGACAAAGCCAAGAAAAAAGTCCTCATTATCTCCACCACTAAAACTTTCGATGGGAGATACAGGTTGAAAGCCCTTTATCGGCTGAGCTCACAAGAGTCCAAGTCAACTGGATTCTCTCTTGTCTTTGTTGTCGTTTTTTTCCCTGAAAAAGGAGGAAGAAGAACCATCATCGAAGCTCGTGGGGTACAGTTTGAGAAGCGAGCTTTATTGTGTATGGCGTTTTCCCTTTTGTAGAGTTCAGATTCATTTACTTCCCGCAGTTATGTTTTTTCCTCAGGCTCATGGTGCAAGTTGAGGTTTTACCCGTTATTGCATCTAAGCTGAGGCCAGCGAGAAGGATGTACTCACACGGCGAGCTTCAATAGCCACGGGAATTTCACGTGAAGAAAACTAAACTGACGTGAACTGTGAGGTTTTTCAAACAATTATTTAAGACTGGGCAGAATACAAACGACAGGTTGGCGTGGCAAGAGGAAGAAGAAGAAGAAGCTGCAAGGAACTGTAAATCGCGCGAGCACTAGATAGGGACGGTTAGGAGCTGAAAACACAACCCATGGTTTCTCACGTGATTTTACATAACATTGGTGAAGCCAAAATTTTCAACCATCCTAGTTTGTCTTCAAAACATACACTTGGAAAAAAAAAAAATTACACTTAGAATGTTACGACATGAGTTCAGAACTCAAATCTTCACAGGAAAAATATGGCCGTTGATCAAAATACAAGATTTCCCCAATGATCGGAATGAGCTATAGGGCCAAGAAGAAAGCTATTAAAGCAGGCATATGCCCATCCCATTATATTGATTTATTTAATTACATATTCCGCATTCCAAATTTAGGAGAGAATCTCAATTTATATTCCAAGGAAGGACTAGGAATGTCCTCCTTGCCTCTCCCACTGTAGGTCCGCAGAAAACTCAGAAAGTGCAGCCCGAGGATCACCATTTGAAATAGACAGGTAATATTGAGCAGTTTCACCATCAACTTGCATGCTTCTCCTCAATGAATCAATCACCCTTCTCTTGCCTTCCACCATGGACATTCTGTTGCCTTCGTCCAAGGACATTCTGTCCGATAGATATCTACAACTATCGTCTGGTACATCATCTGGGTATATTACTGCTACTTCTCTTTTTGAATGGTCATCCATCTCAATGTAGCATGTTCTGTTAATAAGAATATCAGGATTGCTCACAGGAATTAATAGCCTCTCCCTCGAATATATTCCATGATCACTCATCATGTTGTTCAGACGTTTTATGTCCATAACCTATCAAAACATGAAAATTAGCCTCACCAAAAAAGAAACTTCAACGCAGTTCAACAATTAAAACAAGATTCCCCGTCAAGCAGGAAAGCACATACCAAGGAAGAGAAAGTCCACAACAAAATGGTAAGAAAATTACAATATTGCAAATATCCGTACACTCAGCCATAACCGTACAATGGCCTTGTGTTAACCAAGAAGCGAACAGGAAGGACGGTATCAACTGCATTCAATGCATTTTAGTATGATTTGACCCCAATAGTCCACTTCCTCTTGGCTACATACTTTATACTTGAACAAATGCTGTCTTTCCCAGTCTAGGTCACTCATACACTTAAAAAGTTGCATCAAAATGACCTGTTATTTGAAGACCTAACAAAAGAAAACTAGCATTCAGGAAGCTCTGTGTCTTTATCATGCAAAATTCTTCAATACACAGAAGAAAACATGGTGGGCCGGGTTAAGTTTCTGGAGAGAGCGTAATTCCACTTTCTAGATATGATGGAGTAGCTATTAGAGCTAAAAGCCGCAAACAGCGATTCAGACGTACCTGAACCGAGTATCTGACGGCAAGACTGGTAACGGTATCCCCACGCACAATCCGATGGGAAATCGCAAACTTTCCCAAACCATTGTCTCTCCAAAAGCTTCCAGACACAGGATTTCCGACCACACCCTTCAATTTCCAAGGCGATGAGAAATTTCTGATCACCATATCCCTCTCGGAGGCCACCGAGTTCCAGACTCGGCAGACGCATCTCGCCCGGAAGAGAGCCGAAATTGGAAGTTTTTCGAATATAATTCGGAGGATGTCCCTGCAAGCAAGCGCCGGGGAAACATAATCCATCGATAAAATTATAGTAGGAGAGCCAAGGGAGAGGGAGGAGATCGGCTTGGGCTCTCTTCGGAGGATGATAACGAGCTCAACGACAGACGAAAATTCATCAAACGCGTGAGAACGTCGTCGCTGCCTTCATTACAACTGCTTCCCATTTGGGCGGCGTATGGGTGAAGAGACAAGAATCGACCTGACGTGGGGCACTTGGGTCCCGCAAGAAACAAGTTTATTTTAAAATAAAAAAATACTATGTTAATTTTCTAAATCCTAATACATGCAGAAAAGAAATATGAAAGAATTACAATGCAGCCTACAAAAAATATTAAAAAGTTTTATTAGTAATGATAAGTTTTAAAATAAAACTTAATAATCTCTAAAATTTGTCTTGAAAATTTTTTTCTTGAGATCTCGTCATAATCTTCCCAAAAAACATCCATCCATTTTTGGTTAAATAAAATTTTGTTTGACTTTTATTTTTATTTTAGTTATAAGGCTTCAATCCACTTTGTCTTTCATATTTATATATATTTTTCAAAATAATCCTTCTAATAATGATAGTTCTAGCTAATAAATTTGATCAGTAAGGATATTTTAGAAAAGACAATACATATTTATTACAAATAACTAACTTAACTTATTGTCTTAATCTTTTTAAAATAGTCAACCAACTCTTATAACTAGTATTTATTACCAGCATTTTCTAATCGTCATTATTATTTAATAGCATTATCTGTTAATTAGGAATACAAAAAATATTGTTCATTCACAAAGTAATTTTTATTATAATCTGTGTACCAAATATTAAAGCTAAAACGTTACATGTTGAAAGAGCAAATTTAAACATAATGAAAAGAGGTAATTAATCTGTAAGTCCTTATAGTTTTAACTGATTTTGAATCAGGTCCCTATAATTTTATTTCTTTTTATTATGTTCTTATAGTTTCACATATTTTTAATTAGGTTCTTGTATTTTTTTTTTGGGTCAAATCCTTATAAGTTCACCTCGTTTTTAATTAAGTCCCTGAATTTTTTACTCTTTATCTTATGAATTCTAATAATACCATTATATAATCATAAAATAGTATATATTATTTAATATTAGTTTATAAACAATAACATTCTAAAAATGATAAATTATTATAATAATTTTATTTTTTTTCCAGTAAGAAAATATTAATTGTTCTAAAAAAATTTTATGAATTAATTAATTATATTACTTATATTAATTTAATTTTATTATTAATATTTTATATTTCAGTAATCTATTTCATTAAGTTTATGTTTAACTAATAAATAAAAATTAAAACAACATGGACCTAATTAAGAATTTAGGATAATTATAAGGATTTTATAAAAAGAAAAATAAATACAAGAACCTAATTAAAAACATGTAAAGAATAAAAACCTAATAAAAAGAAAAAAAAACTGTAAAGACCTGATTTAAAATTAGTTAATATTATAAGAGTTACATATTAATTAATCCTAATAAAAATAAATGAATGGAAACAAGAGGAGAAAATGATGCGGTGTGCTAGATGCTAAACAGGAACAAGCTAATGATCCAGAAGACAGACGCTGACGCTCAACTAGTTGAGTGAAAGGATTGCGTCGTCCATGGCTTAGGAAGAGGCAAGCAGAAAGCAGAAATCGAAATAGATGGCTTGTTCAAGTCCAAGCTGCAACTTGTTCTTCAGCCGTTCCTCAATACCAGTTTCAACCTCAGCCACTGGCTGTTCCCTGTCTTTCTCAAACTCTATCTTTTGCGGATACCATGTGATTTCCGGTCATTGTGCTAGCTCTACCTCAAGAATTCGTGCCAAGTTTGAGAAGTTCCAAGGCGAACCTCCTCAAGACAGTCTTCGAGAGGTCGAAACTTCATCTTCACTAGAAAATTTTGAGGAGGATGACAGGTATTGGTTCCTTCAGTTATTTTACAAACTTCAATGTAAGCGTTGTAAATCGTATTCAGTTTCGATTTATGTTGTGTTTCCCGTCATAGGCCAGTTATTAGAGATAAATTATCCGCAGAACTCTATGTTCAGGATTTTTTGCTCGGCGTGTCTTTTGTGCCCAAGCCTTTTCAGGTAATTGACGGCACTGCTCAAGTTCTTTCACACCTCCTTTTTGCCATTTCTAATTATTTCTATAATTTTGAGCCACAAGTTCATCGCAGCCTTGGCGTATCGTAAACTTTTTTTTTTCTTTTTGCACTTTCTAGGGTATCTTAAAGAAACCGAATAATCATTTCATCGAGTTTAAATGACTTGAAATCCACTAATTATTCTGATTCATAAATATGTTTTACATGTTGTGTCGAACTCCTTGACTGATGACATGAACCGAACTCTATTTGTCACCGACGCGCTCCAGGTTTATCGTAATGTGACATCACACTTTCTGATATACGCGCGCCAATTTGTTGCAGCTGTATGATCAGAATTAATGCAATGATTCTTTCATTCCAATAGGTATCAAAAAGCGGTTAACTCTTCTGTTTTCTCTTTCAGTTGCTTGCCTCCAGACTTGGAGGGTGCAGTGCGGCAATCGAGTGAGGCCACTGCCGTTTTTGTGTCTTCAGGAGGAATGAGAGCCATAGTATGTGCTCAAGTTTGATAATCTAGTTCCCAATGTGTGTGTATGCACTATCTTTGTGCTGTCAGGCCTATTTTCAACACATAAAATATACGGGCGAAAATCAAAATGTGGACTACATGCAAAACTATTCAAAGTCTGTACTGCATTTTAGGTAAAAAGTATGGTTGCTGTCATTGATGGATATATTCCATGAATTCAGGTAGGGTGAGTTGAATTCATTGCGTAAATGACATACAATGTTATTCTTCAATATTTTCTAAAGAACCTAACCATCCCAGCCAAGTTAAGATGACTGAAAGTAAGACATTGCAACCAAATGATTATTCGCGCCCTCTTTGTCCATCTATGATGAATTTAAGTCGTATGACCTGATACTATTATGTGGAGGACATACTATGCAATTCTGCAGCCATTTTTTAAGAGTCCAGTCATCTTAACCTTGCTGTTTTGAGTATTTTCTAAGATGAAGTACTTCATAAATTTAACCTGTCTAAGGTGGTCAAAAGTCAGATGCTGTTTCCTTCTTGTCTCAGTACTGTTACTTTGCATTTTATCTTAACTAAAATGCTTAAGCATGGGCAATTTGGTGTCAAAGTTGTCTCGCATGTGATCTGGGTTATCAATGAATAATTTATTAAATTTTCAAGTCTTCACCCTGCACCCCCGTCAAAAAAAAAAAACCCTGTATGTGTGCGAAGGACCGTGTGAGTGAATGAGTATCTGTCCATCTGTCTTATATTGACCATTTTGCAGGTTGAGCTTTTAATCCCCCAACTGCAATTTTTAGATGATGAAGGGGCACAAGTGGAGCTCTGGGAATTGTCAAGGATTTTCTTGGACACACTTATCAAAGAAACAGAATGTCAGGTTAGTCAGATGGGTCACAATGAGTTGTAATATTTCAACATATAGAGGATTGTCAGGATTCCGGCCTGTCTGTAAAACATTAAGGTCCAGTACTGACATGCTCTTGCCATTTCGTATCACAGACCTAAAAAAGAAAAAGAAAAAGAAAAATGATTAGCCTTATAAAATTCTGAAGGATCAAAAGAAGACATGCTTGTGATATATTTGTGTTTTAACTTGCTTGCTAAATTCCATTAGTTTGATTGTTAGAGTGTTAAAGCCATATTTCCAGATGCGGGAGCAGCTGCTCTTCTAAAATATCGGTGGAAGGATGCTGCATTTAAATTTGCCAGGTGACTGCTGCCACAGTAATTATTTGTCCATATATAATTGCTTCTTTGCCATGGAAGCGTGATGTTGGTGTGTAATTTTTGTCATTGGATTCTTACTCTTGCATTTCCCTAAAGAATTTTAATGGCCATGATGTCTTAATTTTTTCATGATTTTGTATATATTAATAGTCATCTACTGTTTGTTCATGTACAATTTTTCTGTCATGTCAATCCAGTTTAAGCGATCGAAGGCCTGTAGAAAGTGAGGACGAGATCATTGTCATGGTCGTTCCTGATTATCAAATGTTAGAATATGTTGAGAGAATTGCAGCTGATCTATCAAATGATCCTGTACATTCCTGGCCTCTGATTCTTCCATCCTTTATGCGCTCATTGTTTAACAGGAACTATCGTGGTGTCTAAAATTTAAGCATCCTCCAACTGATCAATGTGATGCAGTTTAACAATTAGTGAGGAAAACCAAACGTGATATTTTCTTGAATTCATGTTTGACTTAATTCTTTAGATTAGAGTTCTAGGCAGCTGTAAGTTTCTCATATCATGAGTCTTTCTAGCAAACCACCATAGGCTGCAGGATGGCATCAGCCGGCCATGTCATTTCAGCACTAGGCATTAATTTTAGAAATTTCCATACTCATGTTTCATACAAACTTTGTGTATATTTGCAGCCGAGGCCTCTCATCATGTGGAATCCGCGCTTGATCAGTGAGGATGTTGGGGTTGGAGTTAATGTTCGGAAGTTAAGACGCTACTTTTTAAGGTGTGATTTCCTTTTTATCTAAAGGGTTTGAGATTTAAGTCATTTCACATTTCATTTACGCTTGTTTGGTTACTCTATATTTCAACTGGCAGTTAGAAATAGTGATGCCATCTGTTCTGGGAGTTATAAAAGTTTGTTCCGATCCATTAATTCAGGTGGAAAAATTCTTCTTGAGTTATCTAACATAATATTTTCCCCTTTAGTATGCGAGATATAGGTTCTCTATAATGGCTGGCTATGGGAATTCTTCTAACCTTTACCGGCCTTGTTTTTGCTTTTCATTGCTTTTAGCGGCTTAAGTCTATGGCTTCACTTTTAGTCTATCCTTATCTTCAATCTGTTGTAAATATGAAAGCTGTGCATGCAAGTTAAAATATGACCAAAATATCGCAAGATTACTATTGATTTGCTATAATTTTTAAGATTTTATCGTTGTTTATTAAGGATTTCAAAACATGAGGGGAAGATACATAACAGGGCATATGTATATCACATAAAAGCTCAAACAAACCACACTATTCATGAGCCATGGACACTTAACCTACTTTAGTTGACTCATGCTAGCTTCTCAAGGAAAAGGTTATTTGCCCCCAGTGTTTTCCTCCTGAGTCCTTCTTTTAGGCCGCAGCCTTACATTTTGTTGTTCTCCTTGGTAAAAATCTTATTAACTGTATTTGTTTAGTTCCTTTTTCAAGAATTGTGGTGTTCTGATCGCATCAGACTGCTAAACACTTGTCATTTGTTGTACAGCACTTTCACCACTGTTTATTCCATGCGACCTCTACCATCTGGTGCAGTCTTCAGGTGCTATCCCGGGTAAGGTCTTCTGTTCCCCTCCCACAAGGACTACTGTACATGAAATCATATTGCATTTTTTTATCTTTACAGCTTGCAGTTTCAGATTATTTGCCCCCATCGTTAACCCAAATCCTGACGACTCCTTGAGAGATGAAGACCAAACCTTACAATTAGGACTCCACTTTTCTTTCAAAAGCGGATGACTGGTTTACCCCTAAAAAGAGGATTGGGTATTGATTTAGTTTCTAGATTTTCAGAGAACCAACATGATTTACCGGTTGTCATAGGATTCATCGTTTACCCTCAAAAATTGAAATAAGAAATACGCGCTTGTGGTGAAATACTAGTTCTGGCTTGGCAAATAATATTCACTCCTTTTTCCAACGACAAATTCAATCCATTTATGGCCTGCATTTTGATTATTTTGTTGATCACTCTTAGATTGTGGAAAGTGTTCTACGATGACAAGGATAGGCCCAACAGATATCTACTAGCCAAGGAGTTCATTAGTCGTCCTGACGCTGAGGAACTTGAGGTTAGTAGCTTCAGTTATAGAATAGAAAATCATTTGGCATGCCCTGCTGGTAGAAAATCACTTCATTTCCCAAAAACACTATGATGATTGAATTGTTTTCTTATGGGTGATTTTACCTCCACGTGGCAGCTGATATTTGGCAGTGCAGAAGAGAAGTCAGTGCAAGGCCCAAATTTGCTTGACAAAGCGGCAGGCTTAATCTCCTCAATAAATCGGTTTATGAAAGCCATTTCATGAGGACATTTCCTCCTTTACTGGTTCGTGCACACCCACACCTAAATTCTAGAATAGCCTTAAAGCTGTAATACGTTACGGTTTTCCCCGCTATACGTTACAATTCATACATTTTGAGAATGTTGATTTATAATAATAATAATTTTATAATAATCTCAACTATTAATTTATAAATTTCTTGAATGAAAGATGATAATTGTTTACACCTCTCTCCAAACTTCATTTAAATTTTATCGACACAGTTTATCCCCGGGGGGGGGGGGTCACAACATTGCATGGAACATGCCTATACAGCTTCATGGATGGCGTGTCCATGGTAATTCCAGCCATTCAGAGTGACTCGAGGGGTGACGCCCGGAGGCACCTGAAAAGATATCGTAATAGGCATGGCCTCCCCCGGCACCAGTGAAAAGTAATTATCTGAGTAATGAACCGGGAGAATTCTAGTATCTTCCCCTTCTCTATGCTCCCTCTTCGAAGCATGAACTGAAAAATGAAGGAAGAAAGCAACTCCTGGATCATGCCCATTCACTTCAGTTACCCTCAATCCATCATCTTTTTTCCCAGCAAGACACCTGTATATACTCTTAAGCAAACCAACTTCTTGTTCTTTCCCAGTCCATCCTTCTACAACTTCCACCGACTCCGTGGTGAAGCCAACGTCGCCTTGACTAGATGTTGAACTGTGCCTTAAGGATGTAAGTCTAGAGTCCGGTCTTTTAGATGTATTCTGCACATGCATTTGAATCTCATAGGTAGACCCTTGAATCAAAACCGTCGATATTATCTTGAGAGGTATTTTCTTCTCCTTATATGGTTCTAGTAGCTTGTAATCTCCACCGTGGAGATGCAACCAATAAAAGTTTCGAGATAAAATTCTATAATCCGACTTCTTGTAGAGTTTAAGAAGAAGAAAATAGACTGGCTTTGGACTTTTGCTCTTCGGATACTTCATCTCAACAATGGGCACAACTTTTCTTGGTGGCACAGGGGGGGCTTCATGAACTTTGTAGTATGGACATGTTCCTTCGAGATCCCATACCGACGCTTCAATGGACACTTCAGACAATTCTTCTGATGTAGTATTAACAACCTATTTAGGGCAGGAAGATGAAATGTTACAAAACTTTTTATAGCAAATAAGCTACTCTATTCATGACTTGATCCCCTCATAAATGTCAATTTAATTCTCTTGTTGATTTTACCTTCTTATCCCCATATTTACCTTGAGAAGAAGGATATTTATTGTACTGCTAATCCTTACTCATACAAAATACAACTTAAATAGACAAACCATACCTCTATAACATAAGTATCCAGATTGAGCTGTACATGAATTGGCTCTGCAGCACATCGACAGCCATAGAAACCCGCATTTTGGTCAAGCAGATGATCATAAAACTGACCCCTGAGACCCGTCCATGGATTTTGTGTCTTCCAAATCAATACACCTGTATATTTGCTCCACATGTGAGAGGTCCATCCCTCTAGAAGAGCTCTATATTGAATGTAGTTCGCGAGTTGAGCCTGAAATATTGTGGCATAAAAGTGAAAATATGAGCATCAAATTCACCAGAAAATGCAGGAGGATGAAAAACACATCGAGCCTGGATTAAAAATCTTTTCACCTTCATGCAAAAATCATCAAGATCTTTTGGGGTGCCATAAAGTAGAATCTGATCATGAACCTTGGATGGTTTTGAATAAGGAATGTATTTATGGTATTCCCAGATGGGATTCGGAACTTCTTCTACATAACCATCAGGGAGTTTCCTAAAGACTGGTATCTGCCATCCTTCCGGTGGCATTGTAGCTCGAATAGTAGCTGCAACAGGCATTCCTACATTACCAACCTCCGGATTGAATCCATAACGGTAAAAATCATTTTTGAAAAAGTCCTCAGGATTTTGAATTCCATAAGGGCCATCAGAGAAGCTTCCATTTCCCTCTGCAAACCCATCCCATAACGACCCTGGGATGTAAATACGCGTACCATCAAGATACTGGCTAGGATCTCTCAACATCAAGGAAGAGTATTCTACAGGTTTGCCGATTTCATTTACACTCCCAAAGTAAGGATGAAGCCTCAGGTCATTTTTCAGAGCAGTATTTATATCATTTGGTGGTATTTGTTCATTTCCTCCCACCCAGAGGGCAAGACTAGGATGATTTCTCAAAAGCTTGACTGTGTCTCTTGCACAGAACAGGAAAAGGTCATGGTCTAGTGGGCCATTTGGATTTGATACCGGGACCCCTCGTCCATCAACATCCCCAGTAATCCAGAACTCTTGCCAGACCTACAAGATTTATGTCAGCATTACGATCAAATTTAAGAAACCTCAATGTCACTAATATATGCATCTACTACCTAATTAACCCTAACACAGTGATGAACCAAGGCTATAGGAGCACCTCAGAAAGTGCTCTCAGAACATAAATGTACCTGAATCACAATCAATTTTAGTTACACAAACGATGAACTAAAATTGTCAGTAAAAATGGAAGAAAAAGCAACCTCCCCCGTACTGAACCCCAACTCAAACGAAAAGAAAATAAAAGAGAAAAAACTTCCATCAAGGCAGAAATATCAAAACATGCTTCCCTATTGTGATAAGGGAGTCATTGAAACTGAGATAATATCAGTGGAAAATTACACAGAAAATTGACACAAACAACTCTGACAAGCTCACAGCAGAACAAGATCAATGAATAAATCATTTTGAAAATATATCAAAGCAAGAGGCATACGGAGCAGTTGAAGAAGAATAGGGATGAAGTATATCATACCAGAATGCCATAATAGTCACAATAATAATAGAATTCTGGCCTTTCGGCAAGTCCACCACCCCAACATCGAATCATGTTGAAATTCATATCAGCATGAAACTTGATATCTGTGTGGTACCGCTTCTTTGAAAGCCTTAGCAGCCCATCAGATAATATCCAGTTACCTCCTCTAATAAAAATTGGTTCTCCATTGACTTTGAACAACCTGTAGAACAAGATACACGCATCATAGAACATGAGGAAAATGTTCAAAACTTGAATTAATTCTATCAAGAACTAAGTATAAAAATGATACCATCAAAGAACATGGAAAACCACCATACCTTCCACCAGTAGCAATATCAATATGACTCTCAATTTTGCGGAATCCAAAGTGATGTCTCCATGAATCGGATTCTCCATACCCTTTAACATCAATGTCAATAGCAACACTGTACAAAGATTGTTTCCCCATTCCATTGGGCCACCATAAATTGGGCTTGTAGAAGAAAAGCTGCCAATTCAAAGTTTCAGATCATGATAACTTCAATAGAAGCTTTGAACCTTCCACCTTAATACATGCAGCAGAACAGGATGCATGGCAAAAGGATGCCATTGGGACAATCCAATAACAGACAAGTTCACGTTGATTTTATTTTGAACAGAAGCTATTGGGACAATCACTTGAGAAGTAGATAGATAATACGTACACACACACACGCATTTGATGCGCCGTGTTAACTAGCTTCAAGGACTTCTGAACCCATAATTGATGACAACTACACGTCAAAAACCATTGACTCACAATACATGTGGTTTGACAGCGAATTCTAAGTAGAATGCAAAGCTAAAACAAAACTAATAGGCAGTAGGATTATAGATTGAAAAACCATATTCAAAATAGCCAATTTGTTGACCAAGGTTCCCGGCATTTAGTTGACAGTAGATTAGCAGTTTGCTGTGCTAGTAGAAAAGATGGTACAACCAACCTGAGGAAACGTATATTGTAACTTTGATTTAGCAGGAACTGAGACATGCTGGGTTTGAAGATGCTCTACTAAGCAAGTGCTCTCTTCAACATCAGTCGTTACTTGGATATTAAGAGAACATTCAGCAATCCATGCACTCTTGTTTTCCAACTCAACTGTGGTATGCAGATATACTCTCTTATAATTGTCAAAGAACGATGACACCAAGTGCGGATCAATTATTTTTACTGGCTGCAAAAAAGACGGAGATACTGAAATGATCCTAGCCAAATGGCTGAAAGAACAAATGAAACAATCAATGATGAAGATATCAATTAAAAAATGGGATGATTCAATTTTAGACTGATTGATCAAAACAAACCAATAGTGCATTTGTGATTTCCAACTCATGTCTCTGCAACAAGCTGGTTTTGTTTTTCATTCATCTCAGTTACTCAGCGTGATGTATCTCATAAAAAAATTACAGAGCATATCTCATGAAAACATCTCAGCTGGTTTTGGATCTGGAAGGTTCAGCCATATTTCACCATGAGTTACAGCTAAAATGATTACCGGGAAAAATGTTTTATAAACCAGCATATGAAATTGTTGAAGGGTGTAGAAGAGCAAAGAAAGCTCAGTGCCAACAACAAATCCTCGAGTATTTAGAGAGGGAAAAAGCAAAGAAATCAAAATACTTGGATAGTTTGGCAGGAATTAACGCATTTCACGCTTAACTCACCCCTGTAACTGAAATGGACACTTCATCCCATATTCCAGTATTCCGATCTCTGCGATCAAAATAAATACTGACATCAGAAATAGCCTGTGTGTGTTTATTTATATAGATTCTGGACGCAGGATCCAATTCGAATGGGACCATCCATATTTTTATACAAATGCCTTCTGCCTAATTCCTAGTGCCCAGTGAAACAACATTTTGTTCAACAAATCACCAAAAAGGGCAAGAAATTAACGCATTGAATCTTTCTAAATATAAATATGATTACAAGATTGTTGCCAAAATGGTAGATTTACAAGCCCGAAACCACCCAGTCCAAAGAGAAAAGAACAACAAGACTTCTAAATCAGCAATGCTTCAATAAAAAGAAGTACCTTATCCAGGACAGAAAACTAAGCACAAAATATTTGTCCTAATAGTAATAATAATGTCACCTTATTGGAGCCATCCAGTCCCAACCTTCAACATATTGTGTAGCCACATCTTTTCCTATCTGAAAAGAGGGGGCAAAGAAAAGCAAGACTTAAATATACAGAAAGTATGGGTTCCTGAAAGATAATTTTTCCAAAGTGATCCAAAAAGTTGTCAAATAAGGGAACTGATAAGCGAACACAATTTTGTCACAACCTCATGATCGCCACCTTGTCCCCCTTCAGGGGGTATTTTTCCAGGATGATCCGGAGGGTGAACAAGAACAGCAAGCAGGTTACTACCATCAGGATGCAGAATATCAGTGACATCAAGAGAATGCCTACGAAACATTCCTTTTGGAAGAACCATTTGGTGGCCGTTTATAAATACATCAGCAGAGTAATTGATTCCACGGAAGTTCAGATCACAATGCTGATTGGCTGACTGCGAAGGACCAGCAAATTAGTTACGTCCATCAAGCCTTGATGAAACTATTTTCAAATCAGAAACCACCTTTTGTACAAAATATAGTTTTAGTATTAGATGTCTTTGTCTATAACAATTCCAAGGACTTCTTAGTATCAAATTCTCTTGTGGTTTAAAAAAAGGCATAGTTCAAGAAGAAGAAGACGGAGAAGAAGAATATAAGCCAGAAATGAAAAAATGAAGCCAACTAGAATTGTGACACTTCTACGCCTATAATTGTATAATGCCGGAAAGCAAAATTCCTACCAGCTTACACTGAAACTTCGTAAAGAACCAGAATGTGTAATGCTCTCGTCCAGCATCAGCAATATCTATGATTGCTTCATTTGCAAGTCCATAAAAAGGATCGGGCACGATTTTGTTCTTCACCAAGGTCGAAAGAACGCTGTCAATTGAGGTCACTTGATCAGCAAAATTACAGTTAAAGGAGGGCGGAAAAATACAGCAGCAACTAACATTCATCCAAACTCTAATCGCATGATGTATCCATAATAACGGAATCAATCCGAGTATGTAACTGTTGAAATCTCTAAGCCTCGGAGCAACAGAGAAGAGATAAGGATTCAAAAATCGAAAGCAAAATGTACAGCCCAGGTCTACGCGGACGACTAGAGCGGGAAAGAGAGATTACGTTCCAGGCACGACGGCTTCCATCCATGGTAAAGTGGGTCCGGTTGGAGGATGAGTGGTGGTGAGCTGAGTGCCAGTGAATTGGACCTCCGTGGACCTGGCGGCGAGCCAGCCCGAATCGAGGGTGGTCCTCCCTATCTCCGCCGTAAGTGGCGCCATATTAGCGTTTGGAAGGAAGCCGTAGATCTCAGAGACCAAAGACTGACTGGTCCCGCGGAAATTAAGAGCCCAAGCGATCAAGCGATCCTGCCCAGCTTCCTTGTGCTGCTGAGCTGCTCTGCTCTGCTGTGAGTGCGTCTGTCTCGTCTACGGTCTACCTAAACCGAAGAGGGAAACACCGACAGGAGCGATAAGCCACTAAAAGGATCAGGCAGTTTTTTTTTTTTTTTTAATTTAATAACTAGGATCAGACAGTTATACACCTATGCTCCTCCATCTTACGCAGAAGATATTTTTTATGGTATAAATATAAAACTTTTTTTATAGGGTAACATTACACTGTAAAAAAAGTTTTATGTTTGGGACTGAAATAGTATACATATATACTACTCCTCCGGTCTTAATTATAAGACCCAATTGACTTATTTGAAGATATTAAGGAAGTAAGTTAAGTTGGTTATTTATAATAAATAAGTGTTGTTATTCCTAAAATATCCTTGCTAATTAAGTATATTGGCTAAAACTATCATTATTAGAAGGATTATCTTGGAAAAAAATACATAAATATAAGAGAGAAAATGGATTGGGTCTTATAATTAGGACCAAATAAAAAGTCAAATTGGATCTTATAATAAGGACCGGAGGAGTACCTTGGATGCTTGATATAAGATTTTGTTTAATTTTTATTTTAATCATAAATATAAATTTTCAATCTACTTTATTTTTCATATTATGTATTTTTTTGAAGATAATTCTTTTAACAATAATAGTTTTAGCTAATACACTTGATTAGCAAGGATAGACTAAAAAAGACAATACCTATTTACTACAAATAACTAATTTAACTTATTTTCTTAATTCTCTCAAATTAGTCAAATAACTATTATAATTAGGACCTGAAATAGTATTAGTTATTAAATAATATTCTATTTATAGTTATTTATTCTGTTTATAGTTATAAAAGAACATTAGTATTGTAATTATAGACAAATTTAATTATAATTTATAACTTTCGGTTCATAATATGAAAGCTAACTAACTAATTTAATTAGATTAATAAAACTAGTTAAGTTAGTTATTTGTAATAAATAAGTATCGTCTTTTCTAAAATATCTTTAATAATAAAAATAGTGGCTAAAATTACCATTATTATAATGACTACCTTAAAAAAATGGATAGATCTAAGAAACAAAGTGAATTCAAGTGTTATATTTATGACTAAAATAAAAATTAAATGAGGTCTTATATTAAGGACTGAAGACAGTATAAGATATTTATTATTTATATATTTATTGTTTATAAAGAATTAAAAAATTTGTTTTTCACTATATTCTCATTTATAAAACTATAAACTTTGTTGTTAATGTGTGTGTATTTTTTGGGGGGTACGAATTATATATTTTTGGCCAATGCTGAAATTTAATTTATATTTTTCTCAATGTTAAAAAAATTTATTTTACTTAATGTGAAATTTATAAATGTAATAGTAGTTCATAATATACGATGCTTAATATAAAAACTCATTTGTTTTTTATTCTGATAATAAATATAAAACACGAATTCATCTTGTCTCTCATGTTTATTTATTTTTTTTTAAAAATAATCCTTATGATAATATTAGTTATAACCAATATATTTGATTAATAAAGGTATTTTAGAAAAGACAATATATTTTTATTATAAAGAACTAACTTAATTAGTTTTTTTAATCTATTCAAATTAGTCAACTAGTTTTTATATTAAAATCAGAGGTAGTATATGATAATATATACCTGGTAAAAAATGATACTATACTATACATACACCGTGATTTATATTGAGTTATATTCTTAACAAGTGGGTAAATAATGCGGCTTACTGTCTTGGATCCCGCAGACGCCCCTGTTGATCACTCGATAATTAATTATTAAGAATAGAAAATCGAGCATGCTTGTTAAAAGAAACAAGAGCCGAGAGGGCGCGGAAAAATCGTGGGATGCATCAGCTCCTCTTAAGACAGATTTTTAGAGATGCATGCGGGGTTTGTCTATGAAACCGTTGTACTTGTTCCCGTGATTAGAAGATCACTAGACATACATCAATTATTAATTATTAATCAATTAAACTTCTAACAAATATTTGTATTTATGAATATTTTAAACTCCATGTAATCAAGAAAAATCAATATTAATTTATGGTAGATATCGTAATTGTGAAAAAATCGATTGTCATGCCTCTAATGCAATTCTGAATTGCTGATTATTTTTTTTGCCTTATTTATAAGTTATTTTTAGAAAAAATTAATGGTCCTTATATAAATTATTTTGCGCAAAAATGGACAATTAATTTTTTTTTTTATAAGGTAAGAGATTGCACGTGAAAGAGTTGGGTGCTTCTAAGTTGGAAGAGTAATTTGATATTTTTGTCGGAAAATATCAATGATTTTACTTCTGAAATTGACCGAATAAACATCTTGTGATAAATAATATACATATATATATCTCTCTCTCTCTAGGCAAAGGGGGAAAATTTTGACCGGAGCAGGATCAATAACTGGTCCAATGGAATTGGTACATACGATGGGCCTGAGGCAAAAACTAACGTCACTATATTAATTAATGAATAGGAAACGTCAAAAGCAGAAATAATCAAATATTGTAGCAGCGTCCTCATGCTACAAAATGCTTCCTTCTTGGATCCCTGATCTTAATCTTCCAACGGCCACCGGCCAAACTAGCATTCTTGGCTCTACCCCTCCACGTCATCAATCTCTGGTCCATCTTCTTGGTGAGCCCACAGTAAGATTGCAAGTCCTTGGGCATCTTTCCATAAACCTGCCACCACTTCCTGTGAGCCAAGTCACTCGCAAATATCTGGTGATCCTTCAAATCCCAATTACAATCATAATCTCTATAGCACAGCCATGGCTTCAAACCCAGATAATGTATGGCATAAACACCCTCTAGTTCTGTCTCCTTCTCTTCATACAAGTTCCCTCGACGCTCATGAAACTTCAAATGATTCAGCTTCGAAGGCAGCCTGTGCCACCACGTGAATATCTCGTTCAGAAATCCCTGGTCGCCTCCGTTGTACGATTCCACTTTGAATCTCTTCTGCATCAGATCTTCGAACATGCACTCGGACGGTTCGATTATCATCAACCCAGAATTGAACAGTGAAAAATCATTGGGTGCGGCCGAGAGTTGAGGGTGAAAAGAGAAGTCGTGGATGTTCTTCAAGAGTAAGAGATCAGAATCAATGAAAATGACTTTATCGTACTCCGTGAGCTTCCATAGTTGCAGCTTACTGTAATTCCATCGGTTATATGAATTCTTCCTGGCGAAGGGGCTGAGGATGCGTTCGATGCGTTTGATCTTCCAGCCAGCGGCTTGGAGGCCTCTTGTGGATTTGGGGCCGATTGATTTATCAGCAAGGAGGATTAAGTCTGCGTTGGCCCTAAGGGGGTGGTTTTTAAGGGTGAGAAGGACGCTTTGGGCTAAAGCTATGGCGCCACAAACATAAGCTTCCGAGGAGTGAAGCACTGTGGCATAGGCTACTCTCGGGGCCCGTATCGTAGAATTATTGCTTTTCAGTGGGGCTGATTGGGACATGTAAGGCCTCCACGCCTCTTTACCTGCACCGGAATCATGCATACGTGATCAACAAACCTCACTATTTTTTTACCCAAAAAAAAAAACTCACTATTTGTACGCAAAAAAAAAAAAAAACCTCACTGTTGAATCTCTCTCTCTCTCTATATATGTATATATGTATATCTTTGAGTGAAGGAGAAGAATAAGACTTTTGGCCGGAAAAGAAGACGAATAAGCAGCTTCTTTTTTAAAAAAGAAAAAATCAAGTACTGGAATTCACACATTTATCTGTTGATTCGAAAACCATATGCAGATGTTTGAATTATACACGCAAAGTAAGTTGTAATATATAATTATACACCAGGAGTTCTGCGTTCTATTAATCATTACATGAATTCGAATAAGATACTACTACCGATCCTTAATATAAGACATCATTTGACTTTTATTCTGGTCCTAAATATAAAATTTATTTTTCATATTTATTCACTTTTTTTCAAATTAAATAGTTCTTCTAATAATAGTAGTTATAACCAATAAACTAAATTAGCAAAAATATTTTAGGAAAGACAACACGTATTTATAACAAACAACTAACTTAATTTATTTTCTTGATCTATTCAAATTAATTAACTAGTTCTTATATTTAAGAGTGGAGGTAGTATTATATATATATTGACAAAGATTATCGTATGATTTTCACCGGAAAAAAAATAAAAGAGTACTGCATAATTTGAAATTTGTTCCCTCTCGTCTTTTTTACAGAGCTTTTAGCATTCTCATGGAAAGTAGGAAGAGACTGTTAATTAGTATATTAATTTTGTATGAAAATAAAAGAAAATTTCAAACCCTTCCGTATATAAACCCATGCTTTATAAGGTAAAAACACGAACGTTAAAAAATGCCAAATCGGAAAACTCCTTATATGCCTTATTGTACTAACTATTCATCATAAAAATGCCTGCTAAAAAAGAATATAATCAAAGAATGCGTGATATGACCAAAAGGATGTCAATTGTGACCAGAGTTATTGTTTTGATGAGTTGCTTGACAAAATCATTAATCCTTAAATTTCTGAATACGGAGACGATTTCAGAGCAGCTAGCATCTCTCTCAACGCTGAGGCTGAGTATATGCACCTCAGAGGAAACCGATGAGTCGGATCTTCTCATAATTCTTCTTTCTCTTTTTTTTTCTCAGTATTTGATCTCCATCGTTGGATCAAATAATGAATGGTTTAGATTTCGTACTTTATAAAACTATCATTATAATATTACATAAACAGGAGAGAGAAGGTGGATATCTACTTATTAAAATATTAAATCTGAAGCATCTATTATTTGATCTGACGGTGAAGATAAGATTCTAAGAAGAAAATAAGAAAGAAGGATTATGAGAGGATGCAAATCTGAATTATATGTTGACCCTTCTCATCATCGTCAATCACGAATCAATGTTTTGCTTTTAATGTTAACAAATACTGTTGACCCAAAAAACCAACCCAGAAAACGGACGCGCGGCCGAGTGATGTGAAAAATATTAGTCGCCGCTGGTAATAAATATTATCCCTTCGCTGGCAATGCCATAATTATTGCATTACATATCTTAATTTATAATTTCAACGATGCCATCGATTTATCTGATTTAATATCATTGATAGCACCTAAAATATTCCGGTACAGCATCTGGTACCTCAGCCACCAATGATGAAGATACGACTTTATACCTTATAATTAACCCATAACACATAATCAATCATTCCACCGGCAAAGACGAAAGGGACAAAACTTGAGGAAAACGTGAACTCTAATAAAAAAGAGAAACAAGAGCGTACCTGTTTCTGCAGAATTGGAAGCAATCTGGCACGAACCAGGAGGCATAAGCGTTAGCTGCCTGAGCCTCCACAGATGGGGCTTATACACCCAATACTCGCCTTCATGCGTTACAAGATCATCGCACCTGAAAATCTCAATCATGGGCCCACATCTCCCAATGAACACAACAAACACCGTTTGATGAGAATCATCATTCAACCAACCACTCTCCACTGCCAGATTAGCCACCACCAAGTTTACTTGTAACCGAAACACGTCTCTGACTCCTTCCTTCTTCCTCCCACACGGAACCCTGGCCAACACCACGTTCAGATCCCGGCGAGTCTCTGGCATCGGCATTCTCGGGCACCGCGGCGGGCCCCGTTTCTGTTCCTCATCTATCCACTCGGGGAAAAAGTCTGCCCATTTCAAGTTCTCATCAACGTGGTCAAAACTGACAGGAACTGTCTCTACTGGCGGAGGCAGATGTTGTAATAGGCCAGCGTCGTGTTTTTGATCGATGTTAACGAGACCTACCTTAACGCTGTCGGTCTTAAGATGTTTTGCTACGAAATCGAACCAAGCCGGAGGTTCTGTGATTTCTTCTTGTTCTTCGTGACGAGGTAAGCGATGGGTGAATTGGGGAGGGGGGTATTTCTGGGGTTTGATTGAGAGGACAGAGAGAAGGAGGATGAGGGAGATGAGAAGAAGACAGATAAGAAAAGGTATTTGCATAGAAGAAGGATGAGCAGGTAAGGACTTAGAAGAAGCCATGTAAGAGTTGATGAACTAATTCCAACTGCAACTTCATCCGAGTGATGATGGGGTTGATATATGAAAAGAGGGTCTCTTTTTTCGTTTATAGGACGAGGATATGAATATTCAAAAGAAGGCTCTTATGATGCGATATTACGCATTCATACAAAATTACAATATTTTAATGAGTTTCCAAAAAGACGTTTTGCATGGCGTCACGTTGAAGGTCTACGCGCGCGCGCGTCAAGAATCGAGAATGGGATCCGCGAGTGAGGCGACACTTCCGCGGTTTCTTCTAGAGGAAGAGTGTTGCGGGAGAGAAAATAGATGGTAAGAAATGACGAAAACGCATTAGCCAAAAAATAAAAGTCAAGTATCATATCGTACCCATATAATACATATGCGCTCAGGCGAAACTTGTCTACTTGAGTATTACATAAACAGTCTTAGTCGGCGCCGTTTGAATTAACAAGTAATTTTACTATATAAATGTTAAATATGTAAGAACATAATGCTTTCTGGCAATAATAATAATAATAATAATAATACCATACTCTTGTATGCATTTTAACGAAGTAATGTGTATATTTGGATGACAAATTATTTTAATCAGTCTTAAAAGCCTGTTTGGATTGGTAAGTGAATTTGGATCCTACCTCATAAATAGGGGGGAGTTTTGTCTTGTAAAATACATAAGAGTTTTTTTTTTTTTTTTTTCAGTTTCCAAATTTGGCCTTAAAAGGATGAGATATTTGAAGTGATTTAATCAGAAGTCAAAACTTGAAAAAGGGGGGCCAAATCGACATTTTCGACAATAAAAGGGCGAATTATTGGCGAGGGGTTTAGGTTGCAAGAGATATTTTATTTGTTAATGTTGGATGAATATGTAATACCGATGCCTCACCTAATATACTAATTTAATCCACCGCAGCGTCGTCCGTGAAAACATAGGTTTGGCCAGGTGCGGCTGCGATTCGTCTGCCGAGCCAAACAGGGATCTAATAATATTATTCAATTTAGGTAGTTACAACTTACACAGATGTATAAAACGTGCAAGGATTATCGATTGGGCGAAATAGTTTTTTTTTGCAATCAGCCGTTGGACAATCATTAACATCACCGGCCGCTAGTGTATTTTCTGTCTTGAGAAGGGGTTCTAATAATATTGGAGGGAGTTTATATTTGCGTGTGAACGCGCAAATGAAGAATTATTTGGGAAAGGGACACTGGCTCTCAACCTTCGGTGAGAGAAGTCCAGCCAAACAACTGTCACAGCATTAAGAACAGTGAATCCATGATTTTCTTCTTCTTCTTCTTCTTTTTTGGGACCTGAATCCATTATTTTCTTCGCAGCTTCTTCCATAGTTGGATAGATATTTATTTTAATTGGTAATGCTGAAGAGATGAATAGTACGTCAGTGCTAAAAGATATGTAATGATGGGAAATAATTTTTTGTTGCTTGACAGGAAAGAAGGTCCTGTTTTGTAAAGATGCACGCAAAATAAAGAAGTGTGTTGAAAATGAAGTAAAGAAGTTATTTAGAACGGAAAAGAATGGTCAGGCAAAAAAAAAAGAAAAAGAAAAAGAAAGGAAAAGCATGGAAGAACTGAAAAACATGAACTCAGGTAAGCGAGGGCTTGACGTTTGCTGTTAAAGTTGCCAGGGAGACTGAAAAATACAATGATATTGAGGAGTCGATATTCAAATGCAAAAGAAGGGAAGGGAAAGTCGTGCTTTTGCATTAATAACAATAGCTCTAATGAAATAATGCGTTGCTTCTGGGTACTTGTTCTTCCTCTTCTTCTTTTTAACCAAATAAAATAAAATGCGCATTTCTTCTTCTTCTTTTTTATCAAATCTATATATCTGTTGTCTCCTCGTCCTTATGCAAATAATAAAATACTAATATTGCATATCTTCCCATCGTCCTATTAATTTCTATATATATATAATTAGAAAAAGGAAAAGGGAAGCGAGAATTCCCTGACCCATTCAATCTCTGTTGAATCATTGATGCTTAAATTAATTTTTCAGATTTCAATTTATTCCTGCAAACTCACATTATTTCCTCTTTCACTCCTTTTTTTTTTTTTTCGTTTGAGAATTTTCCCCCTTAGCCTTTCTTTTTTTTTTTGGGGGGGGTACATTCCCTCTTAGACTTATTTCCTCTAAAACGCACCTTACATTACCAGGCCCAGAGTTGTAAAACGGGGCCAGTGGGCCATTTCATAGATCGGCCCATTAAAGTCTCTTGCTCCTCACGGCTCATACTCCGAAGGTGAATGATGGAATACTAGCTTCAGCGCCCGCATAAAATGCTAAATCCCAAAGTAAAATATATAACAAGACGGATGACAAAGCCGTCGTTAAGACAAGAGAAAAACAAAATAAACGCGGGGATTGACGTAAGAACGATCCGGGGGAGCAGAAGGTAGAGGAGGAACGGGACGAAGCAAGATTTCCAAAGATGATGTCCGGAAACTATACGGCCATCGATAATCAAAAGGTTCCTGGATCCGTGCCTGTGAGTACATCTTCCATTTTATTACAATTTTTTTAATTTCCCAATTCCCGTGACTGTTTGGGTTCTAGATCTCACTCTGAAATCCGGGTTTAACATCGCAGGCAGTTCCAGATCAAGGGCATGTCTCCGTCAAGTTCGCAGGTACAACTGTTGCTCTCTTAAATTTCCCTCCCAATTTATACCTATTGGCTTTCCTTGCCGTGGAGGTGTCAGGGAGGCGTATATACCGGTTTACGTAGTCGGAATTCCTTGAAACTCCTGATCTCTGAATGGTGATGCCTAACTATCACCTACATTTCTGCAGTAATGTTAGAGTCATCATATCAGACTATTTTAGCAATACCTTAGCTAAAACCTAGTTAGTTAACCTTGCAAGACTAGCTCCTCTCGGGTTTGTTTCAATATCATGTTACTTGATTGGTATAGTCTTTGCTAGCCTTTAATTTTGATCTTCATCATTGGGATTTGATTTTATTACATCCGACAAAAAATTATTACTTCAGATTCAGATCTCCAGACATTTCCGCCGTCTGAAGCTCAAGGGAAGATAACTGGCGCGTCCAGGCCGCCTCGAGATGCTGATGGTATGTTCTAGTTTTAATTTTCCTGATTCTTTTGTTTCTATTTAATTATGATAAATGTTAATTTATAACTATTTGCAAGAACATTGTATACTTGAAAGAGTCCATGAAAATCCTGTTATTATCAATACCCAGTTGTTTCTCCATTTTTATTGAACAAACTATCAGCTGGTTAGTCATTGCGTTTAGCTGTTGCATCATCTTTCTTCTTCTTTCGATGATCCAAGCTTGAGCAGGTGTGAATGTGTCCAGATTGGCATTGTTTTGTGTAATGTTTTTTCTTTTGCTCTTTTTATGCAGATACATTTTCGAAACCTACATCTGGTTCTGAGGAAGCACAGCAGAGCGGTTGGTTTCGGACGTTCACTATTGCTGCTTACAAACCATATTTTGATGTTGACACTGTGGATGTTCTAGAGAGGATTAAAGACTCACTCTTTCCATTCAGAGGAACTTTCAATGAAAAAACTGCTAGCAGCCCTGATTTGTATGTCGATTGTTTCGCATCTCCTTTAATTTATTGATAAAAAATACTGGTGCTATAGTTTTGACCCTCTTTATTGATTACTTTTCTAGATTCAAGGCTTTGATTTTGCAGTGAACATAAATGTTATAATATCGTGTTATCAAAAGTCACATATAAGAAATGGATGGAAACCTATCGTACGTGCGTGCCATGATTCAGTTTTCTTTTTCCAGCTTTGTTCTAGATATGGGTGTGTTATTTACTGCTTTGCTTTTTGAGGTCTTATCTTTGTGTAGCGTTTTAGATCATGGGTACTTGCTTTTGAAGTATATTTCTGAAACAAGTGTTTTTAATAACATGTGATGAGTTGTATCACGAATAAAGACCTAGAGTTTCCTTTAATGACTGTGTCTTTTGCAATTTGTGTGATTGTTCTTGTGTTTTCCAGCATTGTTCTGTGGTCATTAGTTGAATAGATGACTTTGTGAACAGTAGACTTATCCATCTTACTACGGCCAGTCACATTTATTTATACCCTAAATGAGCCGGTGCTTTATTCAATAATGTGTAGCCTTTGTTTCATGCCTTAATATGATTGAAGCACTGGTCTCTGGCCTGATTCCTTAGGCTCTGTTTGGTTTATTCTTCTGATTAGTAGCTTGCAATTTTTATTTTGCTATAAATATTCACAGATATGGACCATTTTGGATATGCACCACATTAATATTTGTAGCAGCCTCAATTGGCACCTTTGTCACGTATGTGGCACACAAGCTGAAGAAGGAGCAATGGAATTATGACATAAACCTGGTGACTTGGTCCGCTGGTCTGTTTTATGGCTATGTCATTATCGTTCCTCTTTGTTTGTATGTGATCCTCAAATACTTCTCTGCACCAGCGGGACTTGTCCAACTCTTCTGTCTATATGGATACTCCCTGTTTGTCTTCATTCCGGCCCTGGTGAGTTGCTGCTCCTCAAACTTTCTCCGTTTTCTGAGATCGTACAAGCTATGTTATTTTCATCCTTAGCCCCTCCACTTTTGTTTCGTGCAGTGCATGTCAGTTGTGCCATTGGACATATTCAGATGGGTGATTGCAGGGGTGGCTGGGTTCATGTCAGCATCATTCGTGGCACTCAACCTTCGTGCCCATATCATGTCTGCAGGTGAAAGGTGGTTCTTCATAGTAGCTGGCATCTTTATATTGCAGCTTGCTCTTGCAGTTGTCCTAAAGTTTTACCTCTTCACAGTATCAGTTTGAGAGGAACTGGGGCGATTAAAGTAAAGATAAAGGAAAGAAAGAGAAATGTTTTTGCCGTTTTGATCTTCATTGATACTATGTAGTTGAAATCTAATTCACAGATCAAACCTCTCATGTATTCTTTCATTTGTGGCAAGATAAGGTATATATGTGCTCGGACGATTCTTGTTGCCTCTTTTATGAGGAATGACCATTATAGCAA